GCTCCCTTTTAATATTAATATTCATAAGATAGTGATGATTCATGGCTTATTTGATCAATTGTCCTTAGTAAAGTCTGCCTCACTCTCACTTAAAGCAGAAAGGGGTCTCAGAAAAAGCCCCCTCCTGCTGTAATGCTGTTTCCGTGGCAACAGGCCAATGGGTTTTCTGTTGCCTCACAACGTCACCCCTCCCCCTTTTCCTCTCGCTCTCTTTCTCAGGCACATACATACATAATGTATGTGCCTATATAACCATACCTGCCTTTTTCTCTAAAACAAATGCTGTTTTGTCAGATAAATATGATGGTTTACACACCAAGTTCTCTCTCTGTTTTTTTATTAATCAGATTACATTTTATCATGCATAGACATAAACGACCCTCTCTCTCTCTATCTCTCGCTCTCTCTCTCTCTCTCTCTCTCTCTCTCTCACACACACACACAGCCAGGGCCCCACCCTTGATGATATCACACATGCTATCCAACCACCCCCTCTGGTGTTCACAATGCTTACACACATCCTCAGGCATGTTCTTTTTGTCATACACACAAACATTTTAGTTCTATTTGTAATTCTAGTAAAATTCTAAATTCTGAATTGATTTCTGATCTTAATGTTTACAATTATCTGGTTCTGGTATTAGTTCTAATTTAATGTTGAATTTGAATTTTCAGTTAATTATATACGATGATTGAAAATTCTAATTCACACACACACACACACACACACACACACACACACACACACACACACACACACACACACACACACACACACACACACACACACACACACACACACACACACACACACACACACACGCGCACACACGCGCACACACACACACACACACACACATAGCATCTAGCTTATGAATGTGCCATAGTAAAACCAAAATCTTTATTATACTATGTACTTTCTGTGTACTTTCAGCAATAGTGCTTCATTTCACTAATGTTTCCACACGTGCAAGTGTCACAGTTGTAATGCTCTTTTATTGAACACTGTTGAGAATCGATCCCAGGCTCATTCTAGTGCAAATTACACAGCAGTTATTGAACCTGTTAACCCAGTACACCTATATTTGGTGTTTCCTGAACCGTGTTTAGGAATATTTACTGTAAGAAATAAGTACTCTAAGCTTTCCTGTGTTTAGTTTAATCGTTGTCATCATCATCATCATCAAGCTTTTTGTATTATCCTCCTCATTCACAGTTCCACAATAATTATACAAAATGTTTCATATTACAGTAACTGGAAAAGATGTAGCTGAATCCTTAGTTTATTTCACCTTAAGACAACAATTTTGTGCACAACTGAAAATGACGCCTTTCATAAATTAATGCAATTGTACAGGCATTTCATATGCAAATTATTCATTATGGTCATATCACCTTTTTTTAAACTTTTTTTTTTATTTGCAGCTTTCACTACAAACAGAAATATTATATTTTTTATTGAGGACACCATTTATTTTTTATTATTGTCAGGCTTTGATAATTAATAAAAGTGAATTTAGTTGTGAGAATCCTGCAACATTTAGGGGAAGGTTCCACTGTTTATTTTGTCCTATAAAAAGACTTGCTATTTCACCGCAGCTATTGTGATGTGCCTTCATATTTGTGTTACCAATGCAGGAGATTATGATTATTAATATTTGAAATTGTTTTTAGGAAATATAAATAGGACATAGTAGTCTGCCAGCAGAACCTAATCCCTGGATTACACAGAATTTGAACGTAAAATCCATCTCTATTTGTGTCTCTCTATCTCTCTCTCCCTCTCTCGCTCACACACATCTTCAGGAAACATGCAGTGAAATATTTAGCAAGGATGCTTCAGTGAGAAGATCCACATAGATAGCATGCCCCACTTTTATATTATCTGTCTCTTTCGTTCAATCATGTAGAGTAACAAAGGAATTAGAGAAGATTATTTGTGTGTGAACTATAGAGATGATTCCACTAATATAAAATTGCTAGTGTGTGTTTGTATAACGGAGGTAACAGAGTAGGAGCACATAAGAGAAAATAAACGTTTGAGATTGAGGTGGAGAGAGGCGGTGCATTTGCTGTGGGATTTCATTTAAAACAATTTTCACATGTTTCTGATTTATGTATTGTTGCATGTTATGTCTCTGCCTTCTGAATGGACCAAGAGTCTGTAAATAAAGATTGATGATGATGATGATGATGATGATGATGATGATGACATAGAACTTGCTTGTCAATTTCACAAGTAAGACACGGCAAGCAACACATTGAATAAAACATGAAATTTTAATTCAGAAAGACTGAAAATGTTCTTGTTTTATTTACAACTTCGAAAAATCAGCTTTTAAAAATATTTTAAAGTCATGATGATGAGGCTCCGACACACATGCTGTGGTTTTGAAAAATGTTAGGTCACTTTCATTGTGTGAATGTCATTCTGTGAAATCTTGTGCAAGTATGCAGACACTGAATATAAAAAGAAAGTTTCTTTGATATTTTGTAATTATTTGCAACTACAATCACAATTTTTTTTATATATTCAGTGTCCAAATAATGTTTAACTGAACCATAAAAACAAAGATTTTGCCCTGCACTATTACAATGAATGACTCACATGAAATGTTGTTTTGTTCTTTAATAAATACAGTATCTACAGAACATCCAACTAGTTTGACAGACTCCATCCTCCATGCTGCAGTAGTTTTAATGACACAGTGATGTGATTTGAATTGCGTTAGTTAATAGCCTGTTAAGTTAATAACTTAAAGCTAAAGTGTATATTTTCATGTGTGGTGACAGATATTAGTAAGTCAAACACATATTTACATATTTATGAATATTTCTTATTTCTCAATGTCAATTTTCTTATTTTATTTTTTGGAATCTGACAGTGAGCTAACCTTTATAATAATAATTATATATCCTTGTTACAAAAATCAATAACTTTAATCAATAACCTTATTTACTGCATAAGCAGGTGCTGTTTAATTAGACAGTGGCATCAGTCCTAATTTCTCTGCCATGCATACACATTTAGAAAATTAGTTTTCCAGTTGTATTCATTATAGTAATGAAATTTTAGCAAATATTATTAATTATGCTGTATTTATTTGTCATTGGAGTTGGGTGAGTAGCAAGAGGAGCATAAGGAGGTGGCAGAGGGTGTAAGCAAAGGTTGTTTGAAAACAGTCTTTGTGTAGGGGTGAGTAACGCGGGTCTAGTTGTAACACACTTGTTTTAAATACTTCCACGAAACTTAGTGTGTTTATTAGTTGCCATATCAACACTATATAGAGAAAAAATTGTGCCAAAATTCAGAAATATTTGGAAGATATCACTGAACATTTATTTAATAGCAAAAGTAAATTTCTTAATTATGTTAATTTTTCATCTCTGTTTTTTGTGTTTATTTAAAATTACACAAATCTGATATTATTTGAATCTCCAATATATCTCTGTTATCTGTTATTTAACTGTTGAGATAGCTCTTTAATGCTTCGCTAACCAGCAGAAAACACTAGCTGGGATAGGCTACAATCCCACTTGTGCAGAATGTGCCCCTATTAGAACTATGCTATTATATTATATACTTTTATGAATTCTATTGAGAAACCATGAGAAAAAGGTGAATAAAGACTGAGAGTCAATGTTCAGAAATTATTAATTATTATTATGTTTTGAACTATGCTGTAGCTGTTTTGCAGTGTGTTTGTTGTCAAACTCAAATTATTTTTTATTTTTATTATGAAAAACTTAATAATTGAATTTTATTGAGAAAATATTTTAGTTACATATATTTTTTAATTAGATCTGATAACATTTTAAACTGTCATCATGTTACATGTTACACCTATGGGGCATGTTGTCACATTCCACTTCCATTCTTTCAGGGGAAATCAAGAAACATGTATACAGTGTGTGTTAATTAAACAAACCCACATAATAGACGTGTGTGAAATTAATGCTGGAAAAAATAAATACTCTGAACCCTAAGTCTACACAAACTGAGAAAGTCAAAAAGCGTAAGGTTGTGCCCTGCTCAACTAAATTGAGTAGCCTACTACAGTCAAAAACATAGCCAAAAACATATTTGGAAGAAAGTTTCCCCTATGGATTGTACTTTAAGTATTTAAAAGTAAACAGTAAACTTTATTTCCTGGCTAAACTTAAAAAATCAAGAGACCGCATCAGGGATTTTCTCAAGTGACAACTTTTCACAAATGACTTGCAAAACTTTTGTCAAAGTTAATCATATTTTTTAATCACAATGTCCTGACTATGTTAGGCTCTAGAACACAGCAGATGTTAAATCAGATGTAACAATCCTGACATTAAATTGTGATTGGTCGCCAAATGAGTCTATATGAGACATACTGCCGTTGTCACTGCATTGGGCGCTTTTCTATATCAATAAAATAGGGGAGAGAAGAGGTTGGAGGTCTACATTCAAAGAGAACAAATTAATTTTGTCTCCGTATTATAAAATAAATAATAGACAAGTTTTTCGTTTCAGAGGTGCTGTAAAGCATTAATAGCCTATATAGCACTAATATATCAAGCTACAAAAGCAACACTCATGTAGCTTTTACACATTATATCTCAGTGCACTGCAGCTAATCTGGAGGCCACAATGTGTCACTCTTGCTCTACCAGCTGTGTTTAAGAAAGGAGTGTCTCTCCTCCTCCTCGTCGTCATCACCAGCCCCCCCTCTCTCTCCTTGCTCTCTCTGTTTCTCTCTCCCTCTCTTTCATATATATCTTGTTACCTCTTCACTATAGAACCTCGGGTTCAGTTGTCAAAAACCATCTAGTAGTTTGTGGAATATCTTATGTGCTTGTGGACCAGTAGCTTGGAGGATTTTTGATGGATGTAGAACTTGGATTTACTGTCGCTGTGGATTTCTCCTGATGATAGAAACGGGAGGTTTGGCTGATTCCTTTTGTCTCTCATTGACCGAGACGGATCCTTTACTCAATCGGAATTAAACGTTATTTGGTCATTTTTAATGGATTTTTTGGGGGATTGTTGTAGAGAATAAATAAGCAAATATGTTTACATCCACGCAGGGGCATTTCATAGTGTGCTTTTCATTTGCTTTGAGCTGTCATCTCTTGGAGACTGTAACCGGACAGATCTCATACAGTGTGTCAGAGGAGGTGAAACGGGGAACCACAGTCGGTAATATAGCTAAAGACATTAACCTTTCAGTAAACGATCTGCACTCAAGGGGCTTCCGTATCGTGTCAGGCTCAAAAAAGCAATATTTTAGTGTGAATATAGAGACGGGCGCTTTGCAGGTGAGCGAAAGGATTGATCGCGAGGAGCTTTGCGCAGGCGCAATCTCATGCTCCGTTAACCTGGAAGCCGTGGTGAACAGTCCATTGCAACTCTACCGGGTAAGAATAAACATTCTCGATATTAATGACAACTCTCCAGTGTTTCCTATGAGCTCCGTAGTGATTAATGTTAGTGAAAGCACCGCGCCTGGTGTGCGCTTTCCACTGGAGAGCGCGCATGACGCAGACATTGGAGTGAATTCAGTAAAAAACTATAAGCTTACAGCTAATGATTATTTCACCTTAGATGTACAAACTCATAGTGATAAGACGATCTCCGCTGAATTAGTGCTTCAAAAGGCTTTAGACAGAGAGAAGACTCCGCGGCTCGAGTTCACAGTGACTGCGGTTGATGGCGGATCGCCTGCCAGAACTGGAACCTTAATGATCGAGGTTAATGTGTTAGATATCAATGATCACGCTCCAGTTTTCAGTAAGACATTATATAAAGTCTCCATAGCTGAGCACGCACCAATTGGCACCACAGTTACCAGACTACAAGCTCGAGATCTAGACGAAGGGTTGAATGCGGAGATAGTTTACTCCTTTATTAGTCGAACACCCCAAAATATTCTGGAAAAGTTCGATATTGACGCGAAAAATGGAGATGTTAAAATTAAAGGTGATATTGATTATGAGGAGAACACCGCTTTTGAGATCAGAGTTCAAGCTACTGATAAAGGTCAGGTGACCATGTCAGGCCACACTAAGCTTTTAATAGAGGTTCTTGACATTAACGATAACGCCCCAGATGTGACTGTAACATCACTTCTTACCCCGGTAGAGGAAAACGCGGGGAAGGGAACTGTAATTGCCTTAATGACCGTATCAGATCCAGACTCGGGGAAAAACGGAGCAGTGCGCGTTCGCCTTTTAGGCTCTAGACCATTTAAATTACAGTCGTCCTTTCAGAACTACTATTCGTTAGTTTTAGATGGCGTACTAGATCGGGAAAACGTAACGGAGTACAACATCACAGTCATTGCTGAAGACGAAGGGTCACCGCCAATGTCCAGAGCTAAAGTAATACAAGTGCAGGTGTCTGATGTGAATGACAATGCGCCTCGCTTCCCCAATTCTGTAGTGTATGCATATCTGCGTGAAAACAGCAAAGTGGGCTCCATAATCTCCACAACAACGGCCTCTGATGCGGATATCATGGACAATGCGCAATTAACATACTCTTTACTGCAAAGCTCTGTGAATGGTACACCTGTATCAGCGCTCCTCAGAGTCAACTCATTGACAGGAGAGATCGAGAGCATGCAGTCGTTTAACTATGAGGAGATCAAAACATTTCAGTTTAAGGTTCAGGCCACAGACTCTGGTGTTCCTCCTCTCAGCAGTAACGTGACTGTAAATGTTTTTGTCCTGGATGAGAATGACAACAGTCCCGGGATTCTCGCGCCCTATTCCGAGCTCGGTTCCGTTAACACAGAGAACATTCCCTATTCTGCTGACGCGGGCTACTTTGTGGCCAAGATCAGGGCTGTAGATGCAGATTCTGGTTACAATGCGCTGCTGTCTTACCACATCTCTGAACCCAAAGGAAACAATCTGTTCCGAATCGGAACCAGCAGCGGGGAGATCAGGACTAAGAGGAGAATGAGTGACAATGACCTGAAAACTCACCCGTTGGTCATTTTGGTTTGTGATAACGGAGAGCCCTCACTGTCAGCGACTGTGTCTATTGATGTTGTGGTTGTTGAAAGCGCTGGTGACGTCAAGACTCCATTCAGACATGCGCCGATAAAGGAGGAGAGTTTCTCGGATTTAAATCTGTATTTGCTGATCGCCATTGTGTGTGTGTCCGTCATCTTTTTACTGAGCCTCATCAGTTTGATAGCTGTAAAATGCCACAGGACAGACGGCAGTTTGGGCAGGTACAGCGCCCCGATGATCACCACACACCCTGACGGGAGCTGGTCTTACTCCAAAGCTACTCAGCAGTATGACGTGTGTTTTAGCTCGGACACACTGAAGAGTGACGTAGTGGTTTTCCCCGCGCAATTTCCGCCTGCAGATGCAGAACTGATCAGTATTAATGGAGGAGACACTTTTACCAGAACACAAACACTCCCTAATAAAGAGAAGGTAAGAAATTAAAGGGTTATTTATTTTTTTAAATGCATTTTTTATTTATGCCAAACTATTGTATTTTGAGAAACAAAATGTTTTTTTTTAAAGTCTTGCAAAAATATGTGGTGGAGCTGTCCGTGGTTCTGAACTAGATAGTGATTTTAAAATGTCCCCCCCACCCTTAATTTAGTTCTTATTTTTGTGTTTAATTGTTGTTTAGTACATGTTAGCAGTGAAACCTTCTAAAAATAGTCATCATTAAATCTGGGAGGTTTGTTTGAGAATGTAACTCTTTTTCTTGATATGAAGGACTGCCATGGGGGGAAAATAGTTTACTTGTTGTGATAATGAAAATGCCCCACGATTCAGTAAGATACTGGACACGCTGCCTGAAACATCAAACAATTTCTTAGAGCATTAGTTGAATTAAACGTACATGAAATTCGGTATGAACATCATCCATTTGTGATAATAGTTTTTGTGTGTGTGTATATATTAATTTATAAATCCGCTTGGTGTCACTATAGACCGTTAAATCTCGAATTATCTCCAGTGTCTCGAAGCTCCTCCTGGTTTTAGTGGGGAGGAGATTTCACAGGGCTTTGTTTCAGAGAGACTGGATGTAGAAGAGAGTGTGCGGAGGCCTCGTGTTTTCTCATCGATAAAATGGAATATTGTCTAATACTTCTTTATTCGTGTTGATGAACTTGGAATTTTGTCTTTAATTTCGTGGATTATTGCACGGGATTCATTGGATGTCGCAATGCTCTCGACGTACAGAAGGAAATCTATTGTGATCTGCATTGTGTTCGTTGTTTTAGAGTGTTGTTGGGACGCGGTGTCAGGGCAGCTCTCTTATTCCGTTTCAGAGGAGGTGAATCCGGGAACATCCGTGGGAAATATCGCTAAGGATCTAAACCTTAATGTTCAGGAACTGGAGTCGCGCATGTTTCAGATTGTCACGGGATCCAAGAAAAAATATTTCGAGGTAAATCTTAAAACTGGGTTTCTGTATGTAAGCGAAAGAATAGACAGAGAGGAGCTTTGTGCTAAAGCGCTTAAATGTTCAGTCAATGTAGAAGCGGTTATCAACAATCCATTAAAGCTTTATCAAATAGAGGTTAATATTGTGGATGTAAATGACAATTCTCCGTCTTTTAGTGCCAAAACTCAATATTTAGACATCGCAGAGAACACTTTACCAGGCGTGAAATTTCCTCTTTCTTATGCGTCTGATGCGGATGTTGGAAAAAATACAGTGAGCACATATAAATTAAATCAAAATGAGTATTTTTCTTTAGCTGTGCACAAAGGAGGAGAGCAGAGTGTGTCTGCCGAGCTAGTTCTACAAAAAGCATTAGACCGAGAGAAACAGCCTGTTATCAAGCTTACTCTTACCGCTGCAGATGGAGGAAATCCACCGAGATCAGGCACGTCTCAGATAATTATTAAGATTTTAGATAATAATGATAATGCTCCTGAATTTAGTCGCCCCTTATATAAAGCTAGTCTTGTTGAAAACGTGCCAATTGGTACCACTGTAATAATTATAAACGCAACAGACAAAGATGAGGGTATCAATAGTGAGATCGTTTACTCACTAAGAGAGACAGACCAAGATCACATTTTGGATATATTTCATATTGATCCGAATACTGGCGCAATCACAGTCAAAGGTAATATAGATTTCGAGGAGAACAACGCATTTGAGATCCGCGCACAGGCCAGTGATAAAGGGCAGCCTCCGATGTCCACACACTGCAAAGTCCTGGTGGAGGTGCTGGATATTAATGACAATAAGCCAGAGATAACCGTGACGTCACTCCTCAGTACAGTGAAAGAGGACGCCAGTTTTGGCACTGCTGTCGCTCTAGTGTCAGTGATTGACAGGGACGGTGGGAAAAACGGTATAGTTAATTGCGTTGTGTCCAACAAAGTGCCTTTTAAACTTGAGACGAATTACAAAAATTATTATTCTCTAGTGGTAGATGGTCCTCTAGACAGAGAGCGCGCGTCCGTGTATAACGTGACCATCACAGCTACTGATGAAGGGACTCCGCCTCTCTCCAGCACCAGTGTCATTGCTGTACACGTTTCTGATGTGAATGACAACGCGCCGCGCTTTCCAGAGCCCGTCGTTAATGTTTATGTGAAAGAGAACAGTCAGATTGGAGCTGTTATTCATACAGTATCTGCTTTAGATCCTGATGTAAGTGATAATGCCCGGATAACATATTCTTTACTAGAAAGCTCTAAAAGCGGCCCGGTAACATCCATGATCAACATAAACTCTGACAGTGGAGATATACACAGTTTACAGTCGTTTAACTATGAGGAGATCAAAACATTTCAGTTTAAGGTTCAGGCCACAGACTCTGGTGTTCCTCCTCTCAGCAGTAACGTGACTGTAAATGTTTTTATCCTGGATGAGAATGACAACAGTCCCGGGATTCTCGCGCCCTATTCCGAGCTCGGTTCCGTTAACACAGAGAACATTCCCTATTCTGCTGACACGGGCTACTTTGTGGCCAAGATCAGGGCTGTAGATGCAGATTCTGGTTACAATGCGCTGCTGTCTTACCACATCTCTGAACCCAAAGGAAACAATCTGTTCCGAATCGGAACCAGCAGCGGGGAGATCAGGACTAAGAGGAGAATGAGTGACAATGACCTGAAAACTCACCCGTTGGTCATTTTGGTTTGTGATAACGGAGAGCCCTCACTGTCAGCGACTGTGTCTATTGATGTTGTGGTTGTTGAAAGCGCAGGTGACGTCAAGACCCCATTCAGACATGCGCCGATAAAGGAGGAGAGTTTCTCGGATTTAAATCTGTATTTGCTGATCGCCATTGTGTGTGTGTCCGTCATCTTTTTACTGAGCCTCATCAGTTTGATAGCGGTAAAATGCCACAGGACAGACGGCAGTTTGGGCAGGTACAGCGCCCCGATGATCACCACACACCCTGACGGGAGCTGGTCTTACTCCAAAGCTACTCAGCAGTATGACGTGTGTTTTAGCTCGGACACACTGAAGAGTGACGTAGTGGTTTTCCCTGCGCAATTTCCGCCTGCAGATGCAGAACTGATCAGCATTAATGGAGGAGACACTTTTACCAGAACACAAACACTCCCTAATAAAGAGAAGGTAAGGCCCGTTTTCTGAAGTGAGATATTTGTTTCTTGATTTTATATCAAGAATTTAGCTGTGTGTGTGTGGATTTCAACATAAATGCACTCTGACTCATGGGGACTCTTGTCAGATAGGACCTAAATTGAGAGTTAACAAGCTTATAAATCAAACAGAATGATTTTCCTTTTTTTATATAAAAATGCAGACGTTTTCTGTGATGGGTAGGTTTAGGTTTAATAATTTTTATACTTAGACAAAAAATATGTTTCTATATGTCATTATCCAGATTTAATACTTTGTACGGTCCTAATATTATGTTTTCAAAGTATATAAACTTATGTGATGGCTATGGGTAGCTTTTGTTTTATTTATCAATATCTGGTGGATTCTTCTCAACATTATCTTTTTTTAGTATGGTATGCAGTTTTGCGATCAGAAAATGTTGCATATTGAGCATGTTTGTCCACACGATGTCACTGGCAACCCATGCAAGTTTTTTAGTGTCTTTGTGAAGCTCCTCCTTTCGTTGGGCAGGGATCCTCGCCTCGTCAGAGGTCTTTGTTAGAGAGCCCTGTCCGCCTTAGAGTTGCTATCTCGGTGTCTTTGCGAAAGCAGTAAGCCTGTTATGGAATATACAAATTATGTTTTTCTTGTATAACCGCCAGTCTTACTAACGGAAGGAAATATGGACATAACAGATGACCTTTTGTGCTTTAAATTGATCTTTGTTGTGTTTTTCTTTAATAACTGGAATTACGCAGACGGGCAGATTGTTTATTCTGTGTCGGAGGAGGTGAACATCGGGACCACGGTAGGAAATTTAGCAAAGAATCTAAACCTGAATGTACAAGACCTTGAGAGAAGAGGATTTCAAATCGTCACAGGGCCTAACAAAATATATTTTGATCTAAACGCAAAGAATGGAGTTCTCTTTGTTAGAGAAAAGATAGACAGAGAGGAGCTGTGTGGTCGGAGCTCTAAATGCGCTTTAGAGTTGGAGGCCATTGTTACTGCGCCAATGAACATATACAGATTTGAGGTGAATATTTTAGATGTTAACGACAATGCACCTGGATTTCGCACCTCAAAACTATATCTTAATATTTCTGAACAGACATACCCTGGGCAGAGATTTGCATTACCAAGTGCATTCGATCTTGATGTTGGAGTAAATTCAGTAAAAAGCTACAAGCTGAGCTCAAATGAGCACTTTTCTCTGGATGTACAGAGCGGAGGAGAGCAGAGTGTGTCTGCTGAGTTAGTGCTGCAGAAAGCTTTAGATCGAGAGAAACAAGCGGTGATCCAGCTCACACTGACCGCTGTAGACGGAGGGAAACCTCCAAGGTTTGGTACGACACAGATAATAGTTAATGTAGTAGATGTGAACGATAATATTCCTGTGTTCGACAAGCCACTTTATAAAGCGCAAATAGCAGAGAATTCACCTATCGGTGCTTCTGTGATCACAGTGAACGCAAAAGATGCAGACGAGGGTCTTAATGGCGAAGTCATATACTCGTTTATAAATCATGATAATGATAACAGTGTAAACGCTTTTTCAATCAATCCAGTTACTGGCGAAATAACTGTCAAAGGCCCAGTTGATTACGAAGAATCTCCTGCAGTTGAGATTCGCGTTCAGGCCGAGGACAAAGGACAAAATCCACGAGCATCATATTGTAAAGTCTTACTCGAAATAATTGATGTAAATGATAACGTACCAGAAATAAGTATATTGTCTGTGCAAAATGAAGTGAGAGAGGATTCGTCTCCAGGTACAATGGTGGGATTAATCACAGTAAAAGATGGCGACGCTGGTAAAAATGGTGTCGTGCAACTTAAAATAAAAGACTCGGTAAAATTTAAATTAGAGAATACTTATAAAAACAGATATTCCTTAATGGTAGATGGTCCTCTAGACAGAGAGCGCGCGTCCGAGTATCACGTGACCATCACAGCTACTGATGAAGGGACTCCGCCTCTCTCCAGCACCAGTGTCATTGCTGTACACGTTTCTGATGTGAATGACAACGCGCCGCGCTTTCCAGAGCCCGTCATTAATGTTTATGTGAAAGAGAACAGTCAGATTGGAGCTGTTATTCATACAGTATCTGCTTTAGATCCTGATGTAGGTGATAATGCCCGAATAACATATTCTTTACTAGAAAGCTCTAAAAGCGGCCCGGTAACATCCATGATCAACATAAACTCTGACAGTGGAGATATACACAGTTTACAGACGTTTAACTATGAGGAGATCAAAACATTTCAGTTTAAGGTTCAGGCCACAGACTCTGGTGTTCCTCCTCTCAGCAGTAACGTGACTGTAAATGTTTTTATCCTGGATGAGAATGACAACAGTCCCGGGATTCTCGCGCCCTATTCCGAGCTCGGTTCCGTTAACACAGAGAACATTCCCTATTCTGCTGACGCGGGCTACTTTGTGGCCAAGATCAGGGCTGTAGATGCAGATTCTGGTTACAATGCGCTGCTGTCTTACCACATCTCTGAACCCAAAGGAAACAATCTGTTCCGAATCGGAACCAGCAGCGGGGAGATCAGGACTAAGAGGAGAATGAGTGACAATGACCTGAAAACTCACCCGTTGGTCATTTTGGTTTGTGATAACGGAGAGCCCTCACTGTCAGCGACTGTGTCTATTGATGTTGTGGTTGTTGAAAGCTCTGGTGACGTCAAGACTCCATTCAGACATGCGCCGATAAAGGAGGAGAGTTTCTCGGATTTAAATCTGTATTTGCTGATCGCCATTGTGTGTGTGTCCGTCATCTTTTTACTGAGCCTCATCAGTTTGATAGCGGTAAAATGCCACAGGACAGACGGCAGTTTGGGCAGGTACAGCGCCCCGATGATCACCACACACCCTGACGGGAGCTGGTCTTACTCCAAAGCTACTCAGCAGTATGACGTGTGTTTTAGCTCGGACACACTGAAGAGTGACGTAGTGGTTTTCCCCGCGCAATTTCCGCCTGCAGATGCAGAACTGATCAGCATTAATGGAGGAGACACTTTTACCAGAACACAAACACTCCCTAATAAAGAGAAGGTAAGATATTTCATTGCGATTATTTGTTTTCTTTTTGTAGAGTGGGATTTATATTGTTTCCTCTCGTTGAACTGTGTTCTTGGTTAAAAATACACAACTATATATTCTGATACTTGAAGGTACTTAATGGTTAATAGTGATTTTCTGAAATATACATACTTATAGGAATAGTTTAATACATTATTATATAAACATTTTATTTTACGCTTTGTTGGAGCTGTCCGTGGTTCTGAACTAGATTGTGGTCGTGGCTTGTTTGAAATTCACATCGGTGCAATAACTACTTCTGTTTCTCTTTTTACTAATACTAAAATAATTCTTTAAAAAAAGTTGTTTAGAGCTTACAGACTTGCTTAAATTGTGAAATGATAGAGATGCCCTACAAATGAATAACTGAAATACGGCTAATTTAAATTTTTATTAATGCGATTATATTTATAATTCCTTTTCATTACATATGATATTATGGAAAGGAAAAGATCATTGTAGAACTGCATGTTGCGAAATCTCTTAAGCTGTTTTGAAGTATAGATATTTCACTTGATATGAAAGATGGATAAACAAAACGAAAATTTAAAAAGTTTGCATGTTTTGATGGTGTAAATGTCCTAAAATCCTCTCATGATCACGCTGAAATATCTTTTTTTTCGTCTTATTGAATATCCTTTGGAAAATGACAGCTAACTGCAATTCGGTATGACATAATCCATATGTGAAATGGTGTCATCATTATTATTTTATTTTATTTATTTATTTGTTGCTAGACATTAATTCATAAATCCGCCTGGTGTCACTATAGACCGTTGAATCTCGAATTATCTCCAGTGTCTCGAAGCTCCTCCTGGTTTTAGTGGGGAGGAGATTTCACAGGGCTTTGTTTCAGAGAGACTGGATGTAGAAGAGAGTGTGCGGAGGCCTCGTGTTTTCTCCTCGATAAAATGGAATATTGTCTAATTCTTCTTTATTCGTGTTGATGAACTTGGAATACTGTCTTTTATTTCGTGGATTATTGCACGGGATTCATTGGATGTCGCAATGCTCTCGACGTACAGAAGGAAATCTATTGTGATCTGCATTGTGTTCGTTGTTTTAGAGTGTTGTTGGGACGCGGTGTCAGGGCAGCTCTCTTATTCCGTTTCAGAGGAGGTGAATCCGGGAACATCCGTGGGAAATATCGCTAAGGATCTAAACCTTAATGTTCAGGATCTGGAGTCGCGCATGTTTCAGATTGTAACGGGATCCAAGAAAAAATATTTCGAGGTAAATCTAAAAACTGGGTTTCTGTATGTAAGCGAAAGAATAGACAGAGAGGAGCTTTGTGCCAAAGCACTTAAATGTTCAGTCAATGTAGAAGCGGTTATCAACAATCCATTAAAGCTTTATCAAATAGAGGTTAATATTGTGGATGTAAATGACAATTCTCCGTCTTTCAGCGAGAAATCACAAACGCTAGACATTGGAGAAAACACCTTGCCTGGTGTTAGATTTCCTCTCCACCACGCTACAGACGCAGATGTTGGAAAATATTCAGTAAATTCTTACAAGCTTAGCTCGAATGAGTATTTTTCTTTAGCTGTACACAAAGGAGGAGAGCAGAGTGTGTCTGCTGAGTTAGTGCTGCAGAAAGCTTTAGATCGAGAGAAACAGCCTGTGATCCAGCTCACACTGACCGCTGTAGACGGAGGAACCCCCTCTAAAACAGGCACATCTCTTATAATTATTAAAGTTTTGGATATTAATGATAATGCTCCCGTTTTTAGTAAGCCCTTGTATAAAACAACCGCTTTTGAAAATGTGGCTATTGGAACGACAGTTGCTGTGTTAAATGCATCAGACATGGATGAAGGTAGCAATAGTGATATTGTTTATTCTATAATTAAAAGAGATCAGAGTAAAATCCTGCAGATTTTTGATATTGATCCGAATACTGGCGCAATCACAGTCAAAGGCAATATAGATTTCGAGGAGAACAACGCATTTGAGATCCGCGCAATGGCCAGTGATAAAGGGCAGCCTCCGATGTCCACGCACTGCAAAGTCCTGGTGGAGGTGCTGGATATTAATGACAATAAGCCTGAGATAACCTTGACGTCACTCCTCAGTACAGTGAAAGAGGACGCCAGTTTTGGCACTGCTGTCGCTCTAGTGTCAGTGATTGACAGGGACGGTGGGAAAAACGGTAAAGTTAATTGTGTTATGTCCAACAAAGTGCCTTTTAAACTTGAGACGAATTACAAAAATTATTATTCTCTAGTGGTAGATGGTCCTCTAGACAGAGAGCGCGCGTCCGTGTATAACGTGACCATCACAGCTACTGATGAAGGGACTCCGCCTCTCTCCAGCACCAGTGTCATTGCTGTACACGTTTCTGATGTGAATGACAACGCGCCGCGCTTTCCAGAGCCCGTCATTAATGTTTATGTGAAAGAGAACAGTCAGATTGGAGCTGTTATTCATACAGTATCTGCTTTAGATCCTGATGTAGGTGATAATGCCCGGATAACATATTCTTTACTAGACAGCTCTAAAAGCGGCCCGGTAACATCCATGATCAACATAAACTCTGACAGTGGAGATATCCACAGTTTACAGACGTTTAACTATGAGGAGATCAAAACATTTCAGTTTAAGGTTCAGGCCACAGACTCTGGTGTTCCTCCTCTCAGCAGTAACGTGACTGTAAATGTTTTTATCCTGGATGAGAATGACAACAGTCCCGGGATTCTCGCGCCCTATTCCGAGCTCGGTTCCGTTAACACAGAGAACATTCCCTATTCTGCTGACGCGGGCTACTTTGTGGCCAAGATCAGGGCTGTAGATGCAGATTCTGGTTACAATGCGCTGCTGTCTTACCACATCTCTGAACCCAAAGGAAACAATCTGTTCCGAATCGGAACCAGCAGCGGGGAGATCAGGACTAAGAGGAGAATGAGTGACAATGACCTGAAAACTCACCCGTTGGTCATTTTGGTTTGTGATAACGGAGAGCCCTCACTGTCAGCGACTGTGTCTATTGATGTTGTGGTTGTTGAAAGCGCTGGTGACGTCAAGACTCCATTCAGACATGCGCCGATAAAGGAGGAGAGTTTCTCGGATTTAAATCTGTATTTGCTGATCGCCATTGTGTGTGTGTCCGTCATCTTTTTACTGAGCCTCATCAGTTTGATAGCGGTAAAATGCCACAGGACAGACGGCAGTTTGGGCAGGTACAGCGCCCCGATGATCACCACACACCCTGACGGGAGCTGGTCTTACTCCAAAGCTACTCAGCAGTATGACGTGTGTTTTAGCTCGGACACACTGAAGAGTGACGTAGTGGTTTTCCCCGCGCAATTTCCGCCTGCAGATGCAGAACTGATCAGTATTAATGGAGGAGACACTTTTACCAGAACACAAACACTCCCTAATAAAGAAAAGGTAAGAGATTATGGAATTTAACTATTATTTAAATTTTTTTGTAAAATGACTGGACTTTCTAGCGTTTCCTCTTCTTGTTTACTAAAATAACACTACTACATTTTGATACTTAAAAAAATGTTCTAAGTGGCTTTTTTGTTTTAATAGTGTTTTGCCAAAAAATATACAGATTTATAGGAATTGATTAATACATCATCATAGATTAAAAATCGAACGTAGCGCTTTGGTGGAGCTGTCCGTGGTGCTGAACTAGATTGTGATGGCGGTGAAATTCACATCGGTGCAATAACTACTACTATGACTCTTTTTACTAATACTAGTATGCTAATATATTTAATAATTTAGTTAATTCCTTGTAGTAATCTAAGAGAGTGGTATTATATAGCAGCATGTTGCTCACAATAAAATCTGGTCAAGTCGTTTGAAAATGCATATCTTTCTCTTCATGAAAGAAGATATATATATATATATATATATGTATATATATATATAATGTTGTGATGGCGAAAATGACCCAAAATACTCTCATATATTGGACACAAAGAAATCTCAAAATCTTTTCTTATATTATTATAGTTAAAAAAAATGACAAATAACTGCAATTTGACATGATGATCACTTTGTGATATTTTTTTTAATTCTTTTTTAAAATATATTAATTCATAAATCCGCTTGGTGTCACTATAGACCGTTGAATCTCGAATTATCTCCAGTGTCTCGAAGCTCCTCCTGGTTTTAGTGGGGAGGAGATTTCACAGGGCTTTGTTTCAGAGAGACTGCATGTAGAAGAGAGTGTGCGAAGGCCTCGTGTTTTCTCCTCGATAAAATGGAATATTGTCTAATACTTCTTTATTCGTGTTGATGAACTTGGAATACTGTCTTTTATTTCGTGGATTATTGCACGGGGTTCATTGGATGTCGCAATGCTCTCGACGTACAGAAGGAAATCTATTGTGATCTGCATTGTGTTCGTTGTTTTAGAGTGTTGTTGGGACGCGGTGTCAGGGCAGCTCTCTTATTCCGTTTCAGAGGAGGTGAATCCGGGAACATCCGTGGGAAATATCGCTAAGGATCTAAACCTTAATGTTCAGGAACTGGAGTCGCGCATGTTTCAGATTGTCACGGGATCCAAGAAAAAATATTTCGAGGTAAATCTTAAAACTGGGTTTCTGTATGTAAGCGAAAGAATAGACAGAGAGGAGCTTTGTGCTAAAGCACTTAAATGTTCAGTCAATGTAGAAGCGGTTATCAACAATCCATTAAAGCTTTATCAAATAGAGGTTAATATTGTGGATGTTAATGACAATTCTCCGTCTTTCAGCGAGAAATCACAAACGATAGAAATTGCGGAAAGCACCCTCCCCGGAGTTAGATTCTCTCTCCATCACGCTACAGACGCAGATGTTGGAAAAAATTCAGTAAATTCTTACAAGCTTAGCTCGAATGAGTATTTTTCTTTAGCTGTACACAAAGGAGGAGAGCAGAGTGTGTCTGCTGAGTTAGTGCTGCAGAAAGCTTTAGATCGAGAGAAACAGCCTGTGATCCAGCTCACACTGACCGCTGTAGACGGAGGAACCCCCTCTAAAACAGGAACATCTCTTATAATTATTAAAGTTTTGGATAATAACGATAATCCTCCAGTTTTTAGTAAGCCCTTGTATAAAACAACCGTTTTTGAAAATGTTGCTATTGGAACGACGATTGTTGTGTTAAATGCAACAGACCTTGATGAAGGCAGTAACAGTGATATTGTTTATTCTATAATTAAAAGAGATCAGAGTAAAATCCTGCAGATTTTTTATATTGATCCGAATACTGGCGCAATCATAGTCAAAGGCAATATAGATTTCGAGGAGAACAACGCATTTGAGATCCGCGCACAGGCCAGTGATAAAGGGCAGCCTCCGATGTCCACGCACTGCAAAGTCCTGGTGGAGGTGCTGGATATTAATGACAATAAGCCAGAGATAACCGTGACGTCTCTCCTCAGTACAGTGAAAGAGGGCGCCAGTTTTGGCACTGCTGTCGCTCTAGTGTCAGTGATTGACAGGGACGGTGGGAAAAACGGTAAAGTTAATTGTGTTATCTCCAACAAAGTGCCTTTTAAACTTGAGACGAATTACAAAAATTATTATTCTCTAGTGGTAGATGGTCCTCTAGACAGAGAGCGCGCGTCCGTGTATAACGTGACCATCACAGCTACTGATGGAGGGACTCCGCCTCTCTCCAGCACCAGTGTCATTGCTGTACACGTTTCTGATGTGAATGACAACGCGCCGCGCTTTCCAGAGCCCGTCATTAATGTTTATGTGAAAGAGAACAGTCAGATTGGAGCTGTTATTCATACAGTATCTGCTTTAGATCCTGATGTAAGTGATAATGCCCGGATAACATATTCTTTACTAGAAAGCTCTAAAAGCGGCCCGGTAACATCCATGATCAACATAAACTCTGACAGTGGAGATATACACCGTTTACAGACGTTTAACTATGAGGAGATCAAAACATTTCAGTTTAAGGTTCAGGCCACAGACTCTGGTGTTCCTCCTCTCAGCAGTAACGTGACTGTAAATGTTTTTATCCTGGATGAGAATGACAACAGTCCCGGGATTCTCGCGCCCTATTCCGAGCTCGGTTCCGTTAACACAGAAAACATTCCCTATTCTGCTGACGCGGGCTACTTTGTGGCCAAGATCAGGGCTGTAGATGCAGATTCTGGTTATAATGCGCTGCTGTCTTACCACATCTCTGAACCCAAAGGAAACAATCTGTTCCGAATCGGAACCAGCAGCGGGGAGATCAGGACTAAGAGGAGAATGAGTGACAATGACCTGAAAACTCACCCGTTGGTCATTTTGGTTTGTGATAACGGAGAGCCCTCACTGTCAGCGACTGTGTCTATTGATGTTGTGGTTGTTGAAAGCGCTGGTGACGTCAAGACCCCATTCAGACATGCGCCGATAAAGGAGGAGAGTTTCTCGGATTTAAATCTGTATTTGCTGATCGCCATTGTGTGTGTGTCCGTCATCTTTTTACTGAGCCTCATCAGTTTGATAGCGGTAAAATGCCACAGGACAGACGGCAGTTTGGGCAGGTACAGCGCCCCGATGATCACCACACACCCTGACGGGAGCTGGTCTTACTCCAAAGCTACTCAGCAGTATGACGTGTGTTTTAGCTCGGACACACTGAAGAGTGACGTAGTGGTTTTCCCCGCGCAATTTCCGCCTGCAGATGCAGAACTGATCAGTATTAATGGAGGAGACACTTTTACCAGAACACAAACACTTCCTAATAAAGAAAAGGTAAGACATTCAAAATCGTTATTAAATTGTTGACTTTTACTAGGTGGCTTGCTGGCAGGTTGATTCTCATTTACGTTCAAGCTCAATCTTTTAGTGTGTGTTTGATATTTGCCTGGAGTTTTTTCCTGTAGTTTGATACGCAGTTCATTAGCGTGTAATACACACGCACCCCGTACACCACTAATTCTACCCAAACGTATAATACACACGCACCCCACACCACTACTAAACCTACCCTAACCAACCCATGCGTATCCTATGCATCTACCCAGCGAGCAAACAGTCGTCTATAATACGTCTAAAAGACGTAATTGTTAGACATCCAGAAGACGTCCTCACAGGAGCCAGAATGAAAGTTTTTTATACGTCTTTTCAGGACGTTGTTTAGACGTCAATTAAAGACGTGCTACAGACGTAATTTTTAAACATCCAGAAGACGTCCTCACAGGAGCCAGAATGAAAGTTTTTTATACGTCTTTTCTGGACGTTGTTTAGACGTAAATTAAAGACGTGCTACAGACGTAATTGTTAGACATCCAGAAGACGTCCTCACAGGAGCCAGAATGAAAGTTTTTTATACGTCTTTTCTGGACGTTGTTTAGACGTCAATTAAAGACGTGCTACAGACGTAATTTTTAAACATCCAGAAGACGTCCTCACAGGAGCCAGAATGAAAGTTTTTTATACGTCTTTTCTGGACATTGTATAGACGTAAATTAAAGACTTGCTACAGACGTAATTGTTAGACATCCAGAAGACGTCTTCACAGGAGCCAGAATGAAAGGTTTTTATACGTCTTTTCTGGACGTTGTTTAGACGTAAATTAAAGACGTGCTACAGACGTAATTGTTAGACATCCAGAAGACGTCTTTACAGGAGCCAGAATGAAAGTTTTTTATACGTCTTTTCTGGACATTGTATAGACGTAAATTAAAGACGTGCTACAGACGTAATTGTTAGACATCCAGAAGACGTCTTTACAGGAGCCAGAATGAAAGTTTTTTATACGTCTTTTCTGGACATTGTATAGACGTAAATTAAAGACGTGCTACAGACGTAATTGTTAGACATCCAGAAGACGTCTTCACAGGAGCCAGAATGAAAGGTTTTTATACGTCTTTTCTGGACGTTGTTTAGACGTAAATTAAAGACGTGCTACAGACGTAATTGTTAGACATCCAGAAGACGTCTTCACAGGAGCCAGAATGAACGTTTTTTATAAAAAAATTTTGGACATTGTTTAGACGTCAATTAAAGACATGCTACAGACGTAATTGTTAGACATCTAAAGGCAGCCAGAATAAAAGTTGTATTAGTCACGTTTTCTGTAGTATAAATGTCAAAGAAGACTGTTAAAGACCCATATTGAAACGGAAATCCCATTTGTGCATTTTGCAAGGATCCAACTTTAAAAAATCTTTACTTCAAAACAGTGGCAGTGAGTTAGTTCTCACTGAGAAAGACCCAGTTACTCATTGTTAATGGTTGTCGTGTCATGAAACTGCAGACACACAGACCATAGACCTAAATAAGATTTGAAAGAATTTTGATAATATTGAATACTCAATTGAATACGGGAACTGTGTAGTGTATATACAAGTCTTGCATTTGTATATCTTATCAATATAATTGTAATAAACTGCTTACCATTTGCCTGTAAACCAAACTGATCACTCCAAGAAATCAACTATTTAAATCTCAAAATATATATTTTATTACTATTTTGTTCTACTGGACCAAAACTTAAAAGCCAGAACAGTAAAGTTATAAATTAACACAATTTCCCTTTAAATAATCTATAAAATGTTGTTAAAACAGTATAACATATCAATTAACAAAATGTGGCTGCTATAAGCTTCACAAGCTTCATTTATAGCGGCAAGCCCCGACTCTCCCGGGGGCATGTTTCAGATGATCGGCTGCAGACTTTATTTGGGCCTCTGTTGCAGCTGGGTCCCATTTCATGACAGCAGCTACAATCAAAGCAAAAAAATACACATGTAAAATAAATAAATACAAACGCCACTGTTGTGGTTTAGCTTGCAGCAGAGATGCATAGAAAATTTTAGTACTCGAATCAATGAAATGAAACAGTTATTAAATCACAAATCAAGTAAAATTACATCAAGCCTGATATAAAGCATTCCACACACACATACATATATATATACACACACACACATATACATATATATTTTCGTATTCGTATTGAACCGTTCGGTACGAGGCTTTCGGTTCAGTGTGCATTACAAACCGAACGGTTTGTTGGACTATTTTTCCTGCTGACCAAAATTTCGTTATTTAAAATGTAGGGGCGTGGCAAGCGTGCTCATAATGTAAGAGATGCTGCCGCGACCACAACATTGCCCAACATCAAATAGCAAACGTAATGTAAGCGGAACGAAACTGCAGCTGCGCTACTCGTTATTGTGTGGTTGACGGATCGTTTATCAGTTTGGACCAATCCAGCGTCTTGATCAAGCGACACTGTTACTACACAGCACTAAGAGATCCAGTAAAGAAAGCAGTTGAATTTGCCACTGAAGTAATAATATCGCAGCGAGATCTAGTGAGAAACATTCACATTTCTCCGTTATTAACGGATCAAACAGCGCTGACGTGGAAAACAGGAATAAACATTGTGCCATGAATGAACTATCCAGTGCCCACAGATCAGCAACATTCACCATGGATTTACTGTAGTAACACTACTAACTGTAACCATGGAAGTTTGGCAGGAATAGTAGGCTATAATGCTTTCAAGTAACGTTACGTCGGTTTTATTTCGACATTATGAATAAAATTGCTGCCCTCAAATGTTAATCTGAAATAAAATAAACCTTTGTTTATAACTACTACAATATTACAATTAATTTTTTTCAAGGAGCAAGGAGCTGTTTTTGTTTTATATGCTCCTAAGAAGAGTCAAGTGTAGCTCCATCACTGCTCAAAGTAAAAAATTATCATACTTTGATGAAAAATTATTAAAAAAATTAAATCAAGGAAATTTCTCTGGCTTTTCTTTCTTTTTGCTGTATCAAAAACGTACCGAACCGTGAATTTTGTGAACCGTCACACCCCTAACATATATATTTATTTACATTTGAATAGTTATCAAAGACCTGTTTGTGAAAGGTTTTTTATTTTTATTATTGTTTATGTTAAAACTAGGGGTGTGACGGTTATTATATAACCGTGAGACCGATGGTTATAGTTGAACACCGTCATTAGAACTTGTGGTGGCAATTTTAATGATATTCATTGATCTTTAGTTAAATATAGATGATTCAAAGAATGTCACATGTGTGTCTCTCACTTGTAGTGAGAGAGGATTCTGTTTATGTACCTGGGGAGGCAGAAGAGGGAGACACTCCAGAGAACAGACGAACAAGGACCTCTGACCTAGATGTCAGAAGGCCACTTAGTGCAGGGGAGCTTAGTGGGCCAACTAGTGACGTCTATGGAAAACTACTGGGAGGAAGGCTCTGGGGGGAAGAAGGCCTTGAAACTAAGATAAAAGCTAGTTCAGTCTGTCTGGGGGTGTGTCACTCTTCTGCACAGGGTAACAACTGTGTATTAGACTGCTCCTATTCTTGCAAGAATAAATACTTCTATTTTATATAATTTGACTCTGAGTGTCTCTTACGCAGTGATGTTTGTTTGAGATGAATTTTTGCCACAATAAACTCTATAACCGCCAAAACCGTGTTATTAAAATATATTGCAGATAAGGTTATACTAATATCAGTGTTGGGGAGTAACGGAATACATATACCAGCGTTACGTATTCAGAATACAAATTATGAGTAGGCCTAACTGTAGTCTCCACAGAACAAAAAAAATTGTAAAAAAAAAAAAATTGGGTTTGCATTTATGAGGAAAAAACAATGTTACGGACATGAGCGCTCTGAACGCGGCACTAAAAGATGCTTTAAAAATTTCACAGACACACCAAACAGAAAGCACAAAACCTTTCTTTAAAGTGCATTTAGTTTTGTATTAATTGTATCTTAATTTTAATCAATGTTTCATCAACCAATTGCCTGGATTTAATAAATAAGAAGTAAATATAGCAGACGATAAACACGGAGGCGCCGGCGTGTGAACTGGAGCTCGTCTCATAAATGAACCGAAACTCAGCATATAAGGTAGCCTACTTGCCTCACAGACAGGTCTACTTTTAAACAGAACAATTCAAAACGTAAGAATACAGACTGCTCTCTGCTTATGTAATAAGCAGATAATCCGTATGAATTGTGTATTTCTCTCTGGCGCGTTGACTACTGCGAAGATCGTGAGTCAGCATCGTCAACTTCATCTTTGCAGCCGACACTGGCAAAGAAAACACTTGTTTATTAATAAACAATTAAAATATCTCATTGCTATATTTTACATATTCATAATCATTACTTTTGCCGGTTCTTTGTGACAGATTTTAGGTGCTTATTGGCAGCACCAGCCTTACATGTTACACCACCGCATCACCGCACCCACCAGAATAGGCCTGTTTGATTTTTTTTTGTTAAAGTCCCACTCCGATCATATTTTGAGCTATTTTTAAACATTCCCAGTGGTCTTTAAATTATGATTATGCCATTTTTAGCCAAAATCACAAAACCTGTGCCGTATTCTGGGACTTCGCTTCAGCAGAGCGGCAGTAGCTCATTAGCAAATCGCCTCTGCGTTGTGGGCGGTGCCGTTGGCACGGAGACGACCCTCCCCCTGCCCGTTGCTGAGAGCTCTGTCTCTCCCGCTAGCTTACACCCCCAATACCGGTGGGGCAACAGTATTATATACACGTTAATTATTATTATACGAAGTTAATCAAAGTTATCACCGATCACCAATCATTATTTCACTCCAAGACATCGCGTGTGGAGACGCCCAGTGGAGTTACTACGTCACAACTCCAGTCTATTTTAGCCGGCATTTTAGCGTCTGCTACTGATTCACAGCCATTTGAATGTAAATGGTAAATGGTAAATGGACTGCATTTATATAGCGCTTTCACAGACCCAATGGCCACCAAAGCG